CTTTACAACATCCTCAGCATCCATTCTACAGGTGGTAGGTCAAAAGCTTTTGGTACTTGTGGCTCCCATATAATAGCTCTTCCCCCCCCCCCCCCCGCTTTTTTTTTGGAGCTCTAGCCTTCATGTATCTTAAGCCTTCTAGTGCATTTGTGGATGAAGATAAAGTATCTTCTGGTAGTTTATCAGCTATGGAAATTCCCCAAGCAGATCTTTTAGGGTCCCTTATGTTTACTATCATATCATCTGAAAATAAGAATACTTTGACTCTTTACTTTTGTAACCCCTTGATGTACTTCAGTTGCCTTATTGCTCTAGCTAGAACTTCAAGTACTATATTGAATAAATATAGAGAGAGTGGACAACCTGGTCTTCTTTCTGATTTTAGTGGAATTGCTTTGAGTTTGTCTCCATGTAGTTTGATGACTACTATTGGCTTGTTCTAACTTGTCTTTATTAAGTTTAGGAATGTCCTTTGTATCCATAATCTCTTCAGAATTTTTATCAAGAAGGGGTGTTGGAATTTTTCATAGACCTTTTCTGCATCTAATTGCAGGATCAGGGCTTTATTTTTCTATTTCAATTTGTTTCTATGATGGATTATATTTATTGGTTTATGCATACTGAACCATCCTTGTACTCCTGGGATGAAGCCTACTTGATCACGGTGCATAATATTTTTAACATGTTATTAGATTTGGTTTGCAAGTATTTCATTGAGTATTTTTACATGAATATTTATGAGGAAAATAGGACTCTAATTTTCATTGTTGAGTCTTTGTGTGGTTTGTTTATCAGGGTTACTGTGGCGTCATGAAATGAATTTGTCAATGTTCCTTCTTCTGTTTCTATTTTTGGAATAATTTGAGGAGTATTGGTATTAGTTTTTCTTTGAAAGTCTGGTAGAATTAATTCTGCCTCCCCTACCCCCAACTTTTGGTAGGAAGATTTTGAATGAATGTTTTTATTGCATCTATTTCACTAGGGATATAAGCTTATTTAAATTGTTTGTCTGATCTTGATTTACCTCAGTACATGGTATTTATCTAGAAAATTATCCCTTGAGGGGCTACTTAAACTCACGCTGATGGCCCTAAACTCGTCTACTTACTGAAAGTGTTGACACTATTCAATGGGTTTAAGAATAGAGTGGGAAAAAGAAAGACAATATTGCGAGGGGATAGTGAAATATAGAGGAGGAATTGAGGTGAAATCAGGGATCAACTTGATCAAAACACACTGTATACATCTATAAAATTTTTAAACAATAAAACAAAATAGTACTTGTAACAGTCAGTAACTCAATGCCGTCACTATTGAACAAATCTGTAAGAACCAGAGCAACAAAGCCTGATCTCTCGGGAAAATACCTTGGAAAGACAACTTTTCCAATTTTAATTAGATCTCTATAGTGACAGACTTATAAAACTCTCTTGGGTCATTATCAGACATTTCTTTTGACATTAAGAGATTCTATTTACCAACATCTGATCTAGAAAAGACATTCTGGGCAATACTACCATCAAAGTTCATGATCTACAACCCATGGCTTTTCTTAATCAAGAAGAATGAGGGCTCTGGATCTACAGTCAAAAAAGAATTTTTCTTATCACCAGAGAGCCAAATGTAGTAATAGTAAAAACATTATTTTTCAGGGCTCTACACATTACAGCTCATCAATGCCACAAAGTCACTTGTGAAGTCTGTGTGTAAAAAGGTAAGTATTGAATGCACACATGTGGTAATTTTTTTCTCTCAAAAAATTGAGAGATTTTTGACAGAGTCAAATGGACAAGAGTCGGTGAGCCTCTAATGTGCCTGTGTTTTCCCTTTTGATTTTATCCTTGCACTTGTAGTGGGCCATTGGTGCCCTGAATATTATTCCTAAAGAAATAGCTTTCCATATATTAATGGTTATTTCTGTAACTTAGCTCTAATAGAATGTGGAAAACAGGCACAAGAAAGAATGAGCTTGATTTTACCTTTCTTTTCTCCATCTTAGTTTCATTTTAAAAGGGCAGGTTGGATAGCTCTTGGATTTTATTGTAATGTTATTACTTTTACTGTTCTCACAGATATGAACTGGGGAAAAATGGCTTTAGGAAATGACTCTTCAGTGAAAGAATTTATCCTGCTGGGCTTGACACAGCAGCCAGAGCTCCAGCTGCCTCTCTTCTTCCTCTTCTTGGGAATCTATGTGGTCTCTGTGGTGGGGAACCTGGGCTTGATTGTTCTGATTGTGTTGAACCCTCACCTGCACACCCCCATGTACTACTTTCTCTTCAACCTTTCCTTCACAGATCTCTGCTACTCCTCTGTCATAACCCCCAGAATGCTGATGAGTTTTGTGAAACAGAACGTCATCTCTCATGCTGAGTGCATGACTCAGCTCTTTTTCTTCTGCTTCTTTGTTATTGATGAATGCTACATTTTGACAGCAATGGCCTATGACAGATATGCTGCCATCTGTAAGCCCCTGCTTTATCAGGTCACCATGTCCCATCGGGTCTGCCTCTTGATGACAATGGGTGTGTATGTGATGGGGTTTGTGGAAGCTATAGCTCATACTGCCAGTATGGTACCCCTGATATTCTGTGATGGTAACATCATCAATCACTACATGTGTGAAATAAATGCTCTTCTAAAGCTCTCCTGCACAAGCACTTTCATCAGTGAGCTGGTGGTTTACATTGTTGCAAGTTTTAATGTAACAGTGCCCAGCCTGACTATTTTAATTTCTTACACC